CCCACAAATCTTCGAAGGATCAGTAAGCGTAGAAGGGCCAAATTCAACATTGAAATTTCCCAAGGGCCTTAAAAGGATAGTAGACGAAATATAAAAGTATAGATAGCATCTGATGATTTACAACAATCAACAGGAAAAAAAGGATGGATGGCATCTAGCATCCAGGGAAAAGAGCTTGCGGTGATTGTTTATATCCTGAAATCAACCGATACACATATTAAAAGAATAGTAGACGGAATGTAAAAGTATAACCGCATACATTAAACATATTACAATTATGGAAAATATACATTCAGATAGAAATAGAGCTACGATATGAGCTCTATGTCTTGCACAATCCTTTTGATCTATTGAAATTGATTGGCCGGATACGAGACTAAACATATATGACATCAAGAACACCCCGCAATCTAGGCTACTGCAAGAAAGTACAAAAACAGGAAGTATGAATATAAAAATTTTCATGGAACCACACGATATAAATTCTATGTATCGGCAAATACAGCAAAAAAACATAGGAGTAGGTTGAATACACTCACCCATGTTGTTGAGGTACATCAACACTTTCTACCTCATGATAAGAGCTAATATCCATATTCCACTCATCGGAGATGGATGTAATAAGCTTCACTCTAAAATCAATGGCATCGGACATATATCTGCGTAGAGAAGAGTAATGATGAAACCTTCTATCTTTTATGGATAACACCAACATATGCCAATGAAATCAAGTTAGAAGTGGAAAATTAATCTTATCAAGTGCGAGGAAACGTGTACTAGTTATTGGCTTAAACATGCGTTCGACACTTGACGGATTATTTTCGTTGATGCATCTCTACAAAAAACCAAAGAGAGAATTATTTTTAGTATCAAAGATAATATATGAATAATACTTATAATCTCCAATCGAGAATCCACTTATAGTAACCCATGGGCTGCAGATGTATATGTCCTTTGCATAATTTGGACGCATCTCCATCAACATATTTAGAAGCACAACATAGGAGGCTATAACCTGAAATGCACATAATAAAAAATTAAAGGTTATATGCTACACGTGCATTGTGTGAAACATGAGGGGAAAAGGGAACTTACGTCGCAACCAATTGCTTCGCCTTTAAGTAATTCCAATGCATCCTTACGAGTTACCAAAAAGGGAACTTACGTCGCAACCAATTGCTTCGCCTTTAAGTAATTCCAATGCATCCTTACGAGTTACCAAAGCATCACTTGATGACCACACTAACGTCTCCCTACATATGAAAAAACTTAGTAAATGTGTCGATGAAAACACAATAAAAGTCATAAAATAGGTCTTTCGATATTCCTTACATTGTCATCATTTTGTCCTTCCAAAAGTTATCGAGTAGTTCTCATTCATCATCCCTTACTTCCTTCCTTCCCGGATATTTTGGTACACCTTTTCGATTACAAAGCGGGACAAAGGGATCACATGTAGATGGTCCGGCGAGCCGCGATCTCGATAGAACCGTTCGTTTAATGGAAGGGGTTTTACGGTTGCCCTCAATCACCGCAATATCGCGTGGGCTAAGCAGAAAGGCGTCACCATCCGGTTCAATTAAATCCATGTCTACATCGTCATTAGCACCATCTCCACCATCATCATCTCCACTATCATCTTTATCTACATTCATTCTATCTACATCTCCTTCATCCTCATCCACATCACCACCATCCCCCTCATCTCCTACTCCACCATCACTTTCACCTTCACCTTCGCCTACATCTCTATCATCCTCCTCATTCCTGCCATCCTCATTGCCTCCATCACTATCATCTTCATCATCCCCGCCATCTTCATCTCCGCTATCACTATCGACATCCTCTTGCCTTCCACCGAATATTTCCCTCTTCATCTTCAAGAGAAGGTTTAATTCAACTTTTTTTTCATGGATGAGCCGATCCAAATCAGCTTCAGTGATTACCTACATGTAAACAACCCAAATACAGTTACATTCATGAATCAAACCAACGAAAGCATAAATAATTCACCAACATCGAATAATAAGTTCCATTTTATCAAAAAGCACGTTAAATTACTATTTGAACCTACATAATAATTGGAAAAGTAACATTACATACAAATAAACCATTATACCTTTCCATTGAATTTTGAAGAAGCAGCTTCTTTAGTGGAAGTGGCAGCTTCAGCAATCATCTTTTCAAATTTTAGAGACCTCGATCCCTTATGATATTGGCTAAAATTATCCGGGTCTCTAACTAAATTCTGCAACACATTCCTCCGTAAAGGTTTTGGACACTTGTAGAAGCTTAGGATGGGTGGTAGGGATTCAGCTCCTATGCGAAGGCTTAACTTGCCTACAAGCTCATAAAACCATATCTGTGAAAAGATGATAATTTTAGTACATCAGTAAATATGACTAAATGAACTAAATATATAAAATAAAAAATGACATAAATATAGAAAAGGTTAACTTACCACCAAAACCAATGCAAAGCCCCCCATATAACCACCTCTACTTCGATTTCCCTTAGACCTCTTGGTGATGGTCTTTTTAGCCTTAACCATCTCGGTCCTTAACACATTAAACACTGCTTCAGCCTAATTGTACTCATTAAGAGTGTCCAATTTCTCAGCATATCTAAATACAAACATAGGGCAACCCATATTAGCTTGAGGGCATAATATAAAGCCTATGATGAAAGCCACGAGCATCTGTGGCACAAGAGGATCTCTATGCTCAGCCATCTTCTCAATAAGTTCACCCATCCTACCCCTTCTAGCACACACAATCTTCTTCTTTCCCTCGTTACTTTTCTTTTTTCCTCTTCTAGTCTTACACTTCCTATCCTCCACAATTTCTGTCTTTGACCTAAATGATAGCACGAGCTTGTAGATTGTCTCGCGATCGCTTCTATAGAACCTCGTATCTACAATAGATCCTCCCATCGAAAGACCCGTAATTCTCGCAACATCTTGAACACTAAAACATGTCCATTTTCCTCCAATTTTGAAGCTATTTTTTTAGCATCAAAGACTTCCAACAAGCAATCCACTAGAACAGGTTGAATTAGAATATTAGGAACATCCAAATACCCATCGAAAGGTGTATCTCGAAGGGATGTCCGATGATCCTCCAACAATGTAGAAGAAATACGATTTTGAAGGAGGTCCCGGAAGTAGCCAACATTTGATGGAATTCTAACCACATCCATAGTATGTGCTTTTCTGCAACCAAAAAAATTAAGCCAACGTTAGTATCATATAAATATTATACTTTTTTGAAAATAGGGAAGAACAGAAAAGAGAGTGAGAGAGAAAACTGGTTAAGTGGGAGAGAGAGAGAGAGGGGTGTTTTTGGGTTTTAACCGTGTGGTGTTTTGGGGTTTTAAACGTATGGGTGTACAAATACATATGTTTTTCCTATTGTATTTTATAAGTTGGGCTTAAAGACAAATACAAAAAGATAATTGGGTTTATGGATACAACAAATATGCTGTAGTTGTGATGTTTTCTCCCTCGTTGGGGGATATGGTTTCATTGGGTGTGAATTTACTTGACTGTATGAGTAAGTAAATTTTCAAATTAAATTGAGGGCGCACTATTGCAGTCTTATACTTAAATGGGGAAGAACAGAAAAGAGAGTGAGAGAGAAAACTGGTTAAGTAGGGGGGAGAGAGAGAGGGGTGTTTTTGGGTTTTAACCGTGTGGTGTTTTGGGGTTTTAGCCGTGTGGGTGTACAAATACATATGTTTTTCCTATTGTATTTTATAAGTTGGGCTTAAAGACAAATACAAAAAGATAATTGGGTTTATGGATACAACAAATACGTTGTAGTTGTGATGTTTTCTCCCTCGTTGGGGGCTATGGTTTCATTGGGTGTGAATTTACTTGACTATATGAGTAAGTGAATTTTCAAATTAAATTGAGGGCACACTATTGCAGTCTTATACTTAACTCAGATTCACAATGCACAGAGACTGATAGCAGTCAGAGCACTCTCATCGAGATCAAAGCGACGGCGAGCTCACGACGTGGTCACTGTGATGGCGAGGTCGAGATCAAGGCGACGACGAGCTCACCGTGTGGTGTTTTGGGGTTTTAGCCATGTGGGTGTACAAATACATATGTTTTTCCTATTGTATTTTGTAAGTTGGGCTTAAAGACAAATAAAAAAAGATAATTGGGTTTATGGATACAACAAATACGCTGTAGTTGTGATGTTTCCTCCCTCGTTGGGGGCTATGGTTTCATTGGGTGTGAATTTACTAGACTGTATGAGTAAGTGATTTTTCAAATTAAAATTGAGGGCACACTATTGCAATTTTATACTTAACTCAGGTTCACAATGCACAGAGACTGATAGCAGTCAGAGCACTCTCATCGAGATCAAGGCGACGGCGAGCTCACGACGTGGTCACTGTGATGGCGAGGTCGAGATCAAGGCGACGACGAGCTCACGGCGTGGTCACTGCGATGGCGACGGGCCACGGGGACTGCGACGGCGAGCTTACGACGACGGTTTAATGGAGAGAGAGAGAGACGGCGTCGACGTCGACGACAGCGAGCTTACGACGACGAGAATGGGAACGCAGGTTTTTCAATTAGGGCTGAGAGATGAAATGGGGAAAATAAGGAGAGAGAGAGAGAGAGAGAGAGAGAGAGAGAGAGAGAGAGAGAGAGAGAGGAACTGGGTTTTATATAGGGCTATTGAAAGGATATTTTGGGAATTTTACTATGTTTCTGTATAAATACATGTGTTCAGCCTACTGTATTTTGTAAGTTAGGCTTAAAGATAAATACAAAAAGATATTTGGGTTTATGGATATAACAAATAGTGATTGAGTTTATAGGTAAAGATGAGTAAACATTTGGGGGCTAGAAATAAAAAAGCCCTAATAATAAACTAGTATTGGGTTGGTGCTCCGAAGTCGGCCCACAAATAGCCTGTGGGCCCAATCCAGCCCATCTTGACACACCGAGTCGTTTTCATCACCAATTCAAAAAAAAACCCAAAACCAAAATTTAGCGAGCTCGAAAACAAAACCTCTAGCTTTCCCTCCATTCTCCCCCCAAAACCATCCCAAATCCAAATCCACTTCCTCAAAACCCGAACCCGTTATCTGTCATGCTCTGAAACCAGCATCATCCGGCTGAAGATGGATCTGGCGGCAGTGACGACGGCGGCGGAGGAATCCGATCCACAAAAAGATGGCGGAGCTCCGGGCGGCGTGCCAGACAGAGATCCGGATCCGGCGACAAAGATCCGAACTCTCTGCGAGCTCGTTTCGTGATTCTCTGCGCTTGATCAGGTCCAAAGTTGAGGCGAACTTGGAGAACCGAGGTAGGGGAAATTTTAGGGTTTTGTGATTACTCCATCTTCTTAGAATTATTTGTTGTTAATTGAGAGCGTTTCGAGTGAATTTTCATTTAAATAAAATATTTGGTTACAATTTGGAGAATCTGTGAATATAATGCAAGAAATCCTATATCATAATTTATTCATTTAGCTCATAATATCATCATGTAGCTGACATTATCACTGTAATTTGTATAAAAAAGACTTTTTGGAGTAAGAATCAGAAAAATCCTCAGTAATTTTAAACCAAATTCAAAGAGCCATACTCATGTAGAAACTGGTACATGGAGCTAATTTTAGGTCTTCTGGTATTATAAAATTTATTTATGCCTTTTGTAAATTTAATTTGATATGTGGTTGACTTGATTATTCTATTAACTAACTGCCCTTTACGACTGATACTTCTAGTAAATGGTTTTTCCCCCGATTGCAAATACACCCCAACTTTTAGCTACTTTTGGTTTTGCGTCTAAATCTTTGTTAAAAAAAACCACCATCACCAGCAGCAATGGATAAAAGACTTTGTTCACTCCTCTGAAAATAAATAACTTAAAAAGCTTGGAGAGAAGGGGGAAGATTAGAACATGGCAATAAGTGGAGAGAGTCGGGTGGTTTCTTTCTTTCTTTCTTTCTTTTTTTTTTTTTGGGGGGGGG